ACTGAATTGATATTACAAGAATATTAGAAAAAAAATGTTAAAATTAGAATATTTAAAATATTAAAAAATAAACGTAGACAAATTAATATACATTTAAATATAGGAAAAAAAATTATTTAAATATTTCTCATAGTTATTGAAGTTATTATGATTCTCTAAATTAATACTATATTTACGTAGTAAAAGATTACTTCTAGTTATTAGATTTTAAGTTTTGAAATTAGTGTAAAAACATGATAAAATTAAGTTAAATTTATTTTTCAATTTAGTACTACACAAATGAGAAGGCTCAAATATTCTTATTTTATTTTTAAACATAAACAATAAAATCACCAGTTCAAAAATTTGAACAATTAACTCAGAATAAATTAAACTCGTAGAATACAATTTTGGTTTTCCTAATATGATTTAGTCAAAAAATTAATATTAGTAAGTAAGACTTTAATATGGATAAAGTATGTACAGCCCCACACAAAAACACCATAAGAGAACACCGATTAAGCTTGAACAAAATAGATAACTCTATAAATGTTGACAATATGCATATTTTTAAGTAATTTAAACTTATATAATCATTTTCTAATATGATTGTTTACGTAAAATATATGTTCAATACATATTAATCTATAATCAAAGAATATCCAAAGGTATTTAATAAAATAAACTCGTTTAATTGATAATCACATATGACAATTTAAGTATTTACAATTAAAAGAGCGTATACAAAGAGAAATATTAGGATTTACATGATATTAATTATTTATAATATTAAAACCATATATGCTTAGAGTACCTTGATTATCTTGGAAATCTTGATAACCATATGGAAATTGAAGTAAAATCTCATGTCAATAATTAATCATATTACTTTACTATTTTATTCTTTGAGTATTATTTCCTCCTGATCACTTAAAACACACAAAAATTTGACTATGGGTAAAATCAACAGATCGATTTTGAATTCAAAATACACAACATACATATAATATTATGTTAATTTAACTAGGAACTAATTTTTTAGGCATTATTAAGTATTAATCAACCATAATAGGTTTCTTGGTACGAAATTATTGAGAGTAATTCAATTTAAAATCGCTTTTTTATTCTTAAAGCTTAACCTTTATAGATGTTTATATATGATATGTTTTATATAACCAATTGTTAAACATTTGATCAAAATAATTTAAATTATATTACTATTTTAGCATACAATAGAGCTACTTTTTTATAAAGCTGATTTTTAATTTTTTTACTTATTTTATTTTATAAGTAATGATTGTATATAAGGAACAACCAATCAACTTTTAATTTATCCAATCATTTTAATTATGTTACTTTACTTCAACTCATTTTAAACAAATAATAATGAATAACCGTGCCTAATTTTCATATTATCAATTATCACGTGCCTACGTGCACCACCTTATATAAGAACGGCACGTGATACTATTGTTTTGTCCACCACGTCGGTTTTGATTGGCGTTTTCTAATATTGTTTTTTATTTTAACGATAAATTCTTATACATGTATCCTTAAGAAATATACATAATATATACACATTCAATAATAAACTAATATTATATCGTGATATCGTGGGTGTATTTTTTAGGTATAAATCCGAGTGATTTATTTCCAATTGTATACATACTACATATATGTCACACGTGTCACTGAAAATTATCTTTATGCATTTGTGCAGGTGGCTCATGACTATGACATTCTGCGTACTGTATATTTCATTGCTACAGTTACTTTTTCAAAGCTTTTAAATTTATCCTTTCCACCTTTTTTTCGATCAATACTTCAGAAAATTACAATATACCAATATAAATGAAACTTCCCGATTAACGACTGCAATAATATTTCTCTTTGTGATACGTAGAAATCACTTGTTTTCTTTAAATGATAAGTATATTACATCTACAAGTATTATACTACAAGACCCGCGCCTTTAAAATTAAGAACCACTTCGCTACATGGAGTTAACCACAATGCTAGTATCCATACCCGCCTGGAATATTTAGTTTAATTACTATAGTAGTATAGATAACATATTCAAACACTAAACAGGATATTGTTTATCATTGGCCAAAAACAATACTTTTTATATGATTTATCTAAACCAAGAAATATATAAATTTAAATAGTTGAGGTTTAGAACAAGGGTGGCCGACCGCAATAGTTGAGAGAAAAATAAGATATGAATCCAAATAACAAGTGCAGGTATACACAGAGTCAATAAAATGCGTGTGCTGTTAAACATTCTTCATACGTTAATTCCAATCATTGACTTCGTATTCAATAATTAATAGTTAATATAATTTTAATACAAAAGTAAAACATGTTCATGATTTACCATTAACTTTGGAAATTTAATAGGTATTGTAAAATTGTTACAAAATAATAAGTTTTCGAATAAGGTAGATTTTACGTTATTATATCATATAATCAATGATTATTAATCATGATACATTTATTATAGAAATTAGAAATACTGCTAAATTCTACTTGAAATTTAAGATAATATAATACACGACACCGTACCAACTCACAATGCTTATATATTTCGCGACTATTTAAATTCACAGTTTTAAAATCACTGGCTAGGAACTTACAGACCCTGTATGAAATCTTAAAGAAGTTATGGGGTCACTTAAAACAATTGTGTATGCTGATCGTTCAATAAATCTTCAAAATTTAAAAGATAAAATAACAGCACCATACAATCAACTGAACAAATTTCAGGTGTAAAGAATTAAGAATTTATCAGGCGTGTTGAATCGTGTTTTGCTCACGGCAAACAGTTTGAATAATTGATACTTCAAGTTAATTAATAACAAAATAAACTTAGACTTAAATGAAAATTAAATATTTTATTAAATATTAATTAATTACAATAGATTCATTAAATGTAACGATATAAATAACATAATTATTTATATTTTTTCTGCTAAAAGTTATAATTCTAGCACAAATGAAAATAAATATTAACAGTAGTTAAAATTATAATAACGTGTAAACATACCCTACATAAATAAGAGTGAATATTTTAAGCCTAAATAATTCTAGAATAATTATTTTCAGAAATACAGTCAAAAAAGCGGAAAATCGCACGCTTTTTATATATATATATATATATATATATATATTTTTTTTTTTTTTTTTGTTAATTTGCCAATATAACATAAAAACTATTTACAAAGTTGGTTAAACTACTAAAATTCATTAAAAAAATTAGATGAAAAATAATTAGTTATTGGTTAAAATTAGTCGTTGTCATTTAAGAAAAAGGAAAAAGTTGCACTGTAAATGCACTTGTCTAATTATATTAAAAATGCAAGTCATATAATTGCTTATGCAATGAGAGAACATTTTCTTTTAACATTTTACGTTTTAGTACTTATAAGATAGTGCATGTATTTTTTTTTTTTTATTATCTATGTTAAAATGTTATCATAAGTATGTTTTTGTTACAATAGCGATAATAGCATAGCAATTGCATTATGGAACCATATTTGCTAATACCAATATTTTTTTAAAATCCCTTCATACTATACGCCTAGAGTATTGAAGAGACCACTGTGTCAAATTTCAAGTTTATACATTTTGTATTTTTTGAGATGATTTATATATAAAAACCAAATACTAATCAATCACTGATTACATCTAAAAAAATACAAATCGTATGAATTTGCAATTTGACATAACAGTCTTTTTAATACCTTAAACGTACATTAAGAAGGGATTTTAAAAATTATTGACCCAGATGAAGATGGTTTCATGATGCAAATTTATAGTCATAGTTTAGCGTTTTTGGCTAAGTGATTTTTTTTCTTCAAATTTAACACTTCGTTTTTACCCCTTTTTATCCACTTAGGGATTGAATTTGGAAATTCTTTCTTATTTCACATATAGAGTGTTAGTGGAATCACTATGTTAAATTATAGATTCATACGATCTGTCGTTTTTTTAATGTAGCGATGATTATTGAGTAAGTAGTATTTGGTTTTATATATATATATATATTTATTATGATTGATATTAATTTTTAAACACAAATCTACAATTTATTGTATTATTAGACAATGTATTCAATTGAGTCTAGATTTCCGTAAGTATATGTAATATGATATACGATGATTATTCGGTTAATACCGTTATACGATTAGAAAATTTCTTTTCGAGTATTCATCGTTCGATTAACAGTCGTACTACACTCTCAGATTTCTCGATTAATCGATTATAATCGAAAATCGTACAAATATATTATATAATATAATCGTACATTAGATTATTTTGAAAAAAAAAATAATTGCGCGGCACTAGCTATACACTAATAATAATTTATGACAGCGGCACAACCAAGAGGATGAACACTACCTCTAATATGAGAGCAAATAAAATATTAGATATTCTTGAAAACTTTTGTAAGGATTCCTCCGCCTCCTCTTAAAACGGATTCTGGTCACGCGCTGATACACAGATCAGTGGCATAGCTATCACAGGGCAAAGCGGGGCAGCGCCCCGGGCTCCAGAGCACAGGAGGCAACTTGGACATTTCTGACATTATACTTCCTAACAATGTTGATGGTATTTAACGATAACTCCGAATCGTACGTGATGGTTCCAGTAACAATCAGTATTGAAGCGGAATAGTAATACAGGCAATATTTGTTTGTTTTTTTTTTCTTTTATAATAGGTGCCTAATAAACTGAATTTTCTTTTTACTCTGCACATCTGTTATTATTATCTGACAATTAATGTTATTTATAATTTCGTAATAAATAAATATTCACGTTTAAAAAAAAATATATATATAATGTGTATACCTTGAATTTCCATTTAAAAATAATATCAGTTAGGGAGCCTAGTTTACATACGGCACCGGGGCCCTTTTCCGTGTAGCTACGCCACTGACGCAAATCATACTTGCACACGGTACATCGTATTGTTTAATATTATAATTTGTAAATATCATGCGTAAAAGAAAAATATTTACCTGATGGAAAACGCATTTGCCGATTGGTAGATTATTGAATAATAATTATTTTATAGTTGTGGATCTGTTTTGTTTCGTATGTTGCCCACGAAATCCGATATCGCGTCGGCGACGGGGCAGTTAAGCCGAGCGAAAAACCAAAACGAACGACGGTCGGCGAACGGCAACGCTAACGCGAACGGACGACGGAAAGATGGAGGTTCGGAAAATAGCAAACGGAAAACTCATACGGGGACAAAGTGCGAACGACGCGCGTATACCGCAATAACCGCAGTAAAACGAGTGACCGACTACCGCGTATGTATTATATGCACGCACACACGTTGGCGCGGTCGTCGCAGTCGAGTGCGTGTCGGCTCGGACGACGGACGCACAGCTCGCGACGACAACCTGTGGTCCGGACACACCTCTACTCCGCCGCGCCTCTGCGATCGGCCGTAAACAATGATAACGGATAACGATCGGCGATAATGATAATGACACGAGATAGTATGACGATAATAGTAATGCGCGGCGATCGTGATGGCCGCTGCAGTCGCCGCTTCTACTAAAACTGCATACGCGATTCAACGTAGCCGCGGCGATCGTGCGTCGTTTTCCTTCTCTTCTCGCAACGTCATCGTGTGTATACGAATACGCACAACACACGGCACGTTTTACGCGTTTTTTTCTCCATCGTGGGTTTATTATTATTTTTTTTTTTTTTTACACATATTATTCTAATACGCATTCCGGTTCTCGAATCGCGTGGCCGCGGCGCTAGTCATTTGCGCGCTATACCCCGGCACTGCAGTCATGGTCGCCGTCGCTACCACGTTCGCGTTCCGCCCATCGTCTAACACGGAATACGGAATAAGCCCCGGCCGATATGTTCATGCTACAGTATGCATATTAACGTTGTCGCCGTTGTTTGTGTTGTTCGTTATGTCCACGTGTACATGAATCACGTATATGGATACGCTCAACGAAACCAAATGAGAAGTGAGCGCTGTCTACAATGAACGACGTGCATAAATCATGTAGAATATCTCGAATTCCGCGACGCGTTCAACGTGGGCACGATCAAGCGTATGCGTTTTTCCGTGGGCACAGGACGGTCCTGAAGAACTGCAAACGGCGCCCCCTCTGTGAAATATAGGGCCCATTGTCTCGATCAAAATACGTCCGAACAAAAATACATTTTTACAAAACCTTTTTGGTTTGTAAATCACTTGGTACCAAATTTAATGTTAAACATGTGCGTTCATTATCTGTAGTCCGTTATATATATTTACTTAAATACAAAAAAAAAAAAATGTAGTTCACCTCTTATCGCGTTTATTTATTTTTTCCCTAAGACAAATTGTTAGGGGTAAAGAAAAGTGAAATATATAAATTTATATTTACGATCGTAACAGTATTTGTATATTGAATAATAATGTAATATAAATAATATAAAATAATTATTGATTAGCATTCTGCCGTCAACTTGTTCGAAAATGTATACGTTCAAAAACTATTGATAGGTAATTCTAACAACACATTCGGTAAAGACGAAGGATCATCGTCGTGGATCGGCGGCATACGATTCCCGAATAATTGTGATTTTCTATTGATAATAATGTATATCGTATTACATGCAAGTGATTTTGCAGAAAGAGGAGGACCGTTTTACTTAAATATCAATTACCGTCGTCGTCACCCACTACGCGAGAAGGGTGTAACAGGGCGGTGACGACGGTGTAACGTGGTTAACAATAATAACAATGAAAAAATGTAATATACGTAACCTGAATAACGCATTATTATTATTATTATTATTATTATTATTATTACCATTATTGTTAACATTATTATTACTGTATTTATACGCGGGCGACGTGTTATTTGTCACACTACTGCGACGACGTACCCGCCAGGAACAGTGTTGGTGACGACGAGCAATAAAAAGAAACTCCCGCTGACATTTCACACCCCCTGATGCAGTTATCGCTGCAATAATAACACGCACACCTCCTCCGACGAGGGGCTCGTCACCACCGCTGTAGTAAATATGATATATTATTATGTAAATAATATGTCTTCGACGCGCATTGTTTATGCAATACGGCGTATATTTCGTTTCGTACACGCGTGCGAGTACGTGTCCCAAGTGTACGCGAGTATCTATCAGGTTTGTAATTTTGTCCACTATTTTTGATTTCAACCTGCGCTCTGTCCAAAAGATGACGAAATGCACAAAATGGATAAAATGGACAAAACCTCCAGACTTATAATATTATAACACAATATAAAACTTAGTGAAACTACCACGGGTTTTAACAGTATTAAACAAATTACGTTTAATTTTGATATTCAATTGTTTCATTTTATATGAGTGAAGTTATGTTATCATTATTTCAACAAACGTTTTTAGTGACTAGTTATGTCAGTTGATGTTTTACTAGCGGACCTATACTTAACAGTAATACGCCAACTGTAAATAGAGCATCTATTTGGGTATGTTCGATCAATTTATAATATAATTCAGTATTCTCTATCTAATTAATTCTTAATTATTGCAGTTGATTTTTAACATTAAAATATAATACGTCAGTTCAAAACTATTTTTTATATTTCTTATTTAGTTAATAAGTCAAGTTGGACATTCAAAATTGTTATACCCGTAGAACTTAAAAGTAAGGTAAACATTTTTATCAAAAAAAAATAATAGAATAAAAACTAATTGAAATGATTCAATTTCTTTATTTATTTATTTATTCATGATAAAAATTATGATTTTGTCAAATATATTCAATTAAATACAATATTTGATTATGTTCGAGACATATTTTGTTCAATTTTGTCTATCCATTTTATTCCCTGGGACAATACCTTATAAACCCTGCCCTCTATCCCCTGCTGCTGACATCTATGACAGACCTGATGTAAGCAATTTTTATGCGTAAAGAGCTTAATATTGCTCTCAAACTATGTATTATAATATTATAATTATTATTATTATAATCATTTTATTATAATAATGAAGTGCTGTGGATTAAACTGCTTTAATTTGAAGGTGCTTCTGGTTTCCGAATTGACTTAAGTCCGAAGTAGAATTGAACCGACTCTCTTACATAATATAAATATATTAACGTCACACCGATATTGGCATAGAAAACCGTTTCCAAAAAATAGTGATTGTTGTTAGAAATATATTAACAGGCAGTTGTAGAACTTTCACATGTTGTTAGCGCATCCAGAATTCATGCAAAACCATGCAGCATTTACCAATTTGCCAATCTATAATAATATTATATCTACGTCTATTGTGTTCGATATGTCTGTCTATATCTAATATATAATACCCATAAATATATAATGTAAGTAGTATACAAAAGCCCATAATATCTCCATTGATATATTCTAACACGATTTTTTCTAGTAAAACGTGTATTCAAATCCTCTTGAACCGGGGATGGTGTATTACACACAGTTGGATACAAAATATAATAATGAATTGTTCTACATTGAAACAATGGGGTGGATAATATTTTCGTACTGTTAACGAAGCGTAACATTATTATTATTTTATTACACACTAAAACATTATCGGTAAATTTCATACTTGGTTTCGCTACACTCTGATGAAACGCAATTGTTAGTTCTATTCCAAATTTTTCTAAACATTTACTTAGGACCTACCAATGTGGAATATATCTTGGAGAGACCAAAATCAAATTTCGTATTTTATACTTTAGTAATAAAGTGTATTCAATTCGAATACGCTTAAATTTCCTTGACATAACTAATTAATACTTTTAATTCAAAGCTATGATAATATCTGCCTAATGAGTATAATTTTTAATAAGATAGATCGGCACTTTATTGAAAATAGGTTTCTGCCGGACGGGGACTTGGTCTTTCACTGCCGGACTATTCGTCGAAATCGTTTCGCCACCGTTCATTTCGCGAACCATTTCTAAAACCGAAACTCTTTGGAACGATATTTCTATGTTATAAAAATTCACATTACCACACTATAACACAACTTAACGTGGCATATCAAAATAAAACAGATACAGATTTAGCAGTACAGATTTATAAAAACATAGAACCTAATTCCGCCGATATGAACAGTACGATTTAACGTTAATTAAAACCGTTTTTACACTGTCGGTGATGATTACACTGTACAATAATATACGCGCTTATCATCCGCACCGGACTGATCAAACCGGTGGTATGCTGGTAATTCAAAAGTTTTTTTCGGAGTTATCGGTGTTCTAAATCATTCGATTATCCCCGGCCTCCCAACTGTCGATCGGACTGCCGTCGATGCCCCGGGAGAATAACTCCGTGTGTCGCGAACGTATTGTACGGACTTACGAGTCGTCCGGGCTTTTCTTGTGGTTTTGGTCATTGTCCGGCCGACCTGTGACCCGGTCGGGGACATCCGTGTTCTGGCATTTTTCCGTCGTTGTATCGGTTCCGTCACGTTTACGCTCGTTTGACGATCACGTCGCATTGGTACGAGCCACACGTCACGGGGTCGTCGCTCGCCATCTTTCAACGCTATCGCGGACGTCCACAGTTCCGACGAGTGCGTTCACTTGGAAACAGAGTTCCGGGCATAACCCAGAGGGCTTTCGGCAGTCTCCGATCCGTCGCACGTGGTTTAACGCGGTCGCATGGACGAAACCACCTGAACTGGGGCTGCGCCATGTATGAGACATCCTAGTTCCGTCAGGCCGTTCTATTCAAGACACCGTTTGTCTCTTTTGTTCCTTTAACTTTCCTAAGAACATTTATATCGCGTTGATGCGAAAGATTTATCATTATTCTTGTTATTATTTTGATTAGCTCGTTTGCGGCGCACTTCGATTTATTTTGTTGTATATAAGGACATCCGCCAATCGTAGATGATTATTATTATTATTATTATTATTATTAATATAAGTCAAGAATAAAAAAAAAATAATAATTATTATAATTTATTAAATTTTATGTTACCTTATTTGTTCTAAAATTAAAAAATTTATATTTGTTCAAATCACTTATTTGTAAAAAGTTAAAACAATCTGAATTATAACATTAAAGTTACGCAGTATGATTTGATGATCAGAAGTCGAAAATAATTAAATACAAATTAGAACAGACCTCAATGACCTGCCACACAATCATAATTAAAATATAATATCTATTAATCGATAAACGATGATAATCGTAAAAAAATATACGTCTAAAATATGAGTTTCTATTATAATATATTATAATCAAGGTTTGGAAGTTATAGGAGTTGCATATTGTTCTGTATGCTTTCGATTTATAGCAGACCAAGCTGGAAATCTAGGCTATACAATGTTGGGATTAAAAATTGAAAATTAAAATTGCATACTTAGCATATTTCGTGAATTTTAGAGAAAAAGTGCATATTTTCATTGATTTTCGCATATTTGTATGCATATTTAATATTTTCTAAAAAAAATAATTTTTTTCATTCATAACCAATTTATTTTAAATAACATTACATAAC